TCACCCCGAATCCACATGTTCTGGATCCAGAAAGCACTTTTAGACCATGCCAAAGTTCCACCCTTTCATGCGTGGGTAACTAAGTCCTTGTTTGGATCCCATTTGTTAGGTATAGATTTTGTAAGAATGAATTTTTTGGAGAATGTGAGATTAAAAAGTAAGAAATTTTTTTTGATTACTTGCAAAATTATTTTATTGACAATGTAAGTGTTGAAAAATGAGTTCAAAGAAATTGAATTTTGAAAAAAGGCTCAAACGGGGGTTAATTGTCTCGGGTCATCAGCAGTGTTACAATTAATGTCAACAGTTCATAGCGCCCAAATTTGTTTCAAGGGAGAATTTTATAGCCAAGAGATTAAGTATAATCCAGTTCAAAACTAAAAGACAAGGTTTAATATTTCAAAAATCAGATATTGGTTAAATTTTATATATAAAATAATTAATTAAAAATATATATTTTATTTATTGAATATTATTAAGGTCATAATATTATATAAATTATGGTCGCCAGTATGTATTAGTTACAATTACAGACGTCACAATCACAACTTATTTCTCGATAAAAAATTCAACAAATTTATAGGTCATATATTATTCACTGGTCAGAAATCACAAATTTTAGAGGTTGCAACTTATTTCTTGGTCACAAAATATCAAATTAATTGTCACACATTATTTCTAGGTCACAATTAAATTTCTAATCACAACTTCGCAAATTTTTAAGTCACAAATTATTTATTGGTATGTATTTCATTAGTCGCGCATTAATCAATTTATTAATCACAATCAATCAAACAATTTATGACCCCAACACCATTTGTGACCACCACCTCACCATTGCCTCCGGTAGCACTACTGTGAACACCATCGTCGTAGGAACAAAGTGTATATACATACATGAATCTAGGAAAAATAATTCCAAGGTAACTGTTTGTCTTGATTGTGAATGATTTGACATACCAAAGGAATGATGATAATAACCATTTCATATAATCGATCAGAAATTTATAAAAAATTAAAGCTTGTAATTTATTGTTGTTGTCGTTTTAGACTTAAAAAAAAATAAAAAAAATAAAAAAAAACTTGTTAACCTTGAACAAGTCAACTTTGTGCCAAGAAAGAATATCTACATATTGTGTACGGAACGATATACAGTCCTATGTTAAAGTTCTTGTACCAAACAAATCAACTAAAGTTTGATTAAACTCCCCATATTCGACCAAATGATTTTCAAATTCATTTATTGTTAAAACGATCATTTATAGACATCAATTCATGTTTATTTTCTCAAACTTTTTGAACTAATAATTTACTTTGGACCTACTTTGGACCGTCGTTTACTATCTAGAGCACATACCAAATGTACTCTGGTTCCCTTCAAGGTTAGAGAAGAAATAAATTTAGAATAATTACTGTCAAATGCAATGTTATTTGGAACCCAACAAGTCAATATTTCTATCCTGCCTTTTTATTTTTTTTATTTTTTATTTTTTTTAATTCTTGGTGCAAGGTATCTTCCATGTAACTTCAAGTCATGGATCATGTTTCATTTCCAAACAAGACAGTGTAAAGTGTATGTAGAGAACTTGAATTTTCGTTTTCAAAATTCTTCGTGTTTGAGCTTTCAATCTTGGTGCAATGTATCTTCCATGTAACTTCAAGTAATCGATCATATTTCAATTTCACAAAAGTTGATGTATCTAGAGAACTTAAATTTTCGTTTTCAAGTCCTTAGGTTTTACTTTTTGTATCCTAACGTTAAAGGACGACTTATAAATAATCCAAATTTATCGGGTCATTGTTACTGCACTGCTTTGGATTCAAGGGTAGTGGAAATTTCCAAAGCAACTTCGGCTTTTATTTTCAACGCTTTGATGCATCCATTAAAGAAATTATATCCAATAATAAAACCTTGCAATGAGTCATCTCAATGATTATTTTAAATCATTCAATTGACTAAAGGGTATAGAAAATAATAAATGTTGCGACTTGCGACTACATCATCATTCATACCATATTAATAAATTATTCATAATATTGTTACAATTTGGAATCCCTAACTGATTTGTGCCTACTTCAGATTAATGCATCAATGGCTGAGGTTTAGATTCAGAATTCTTTATGATTAACAAGAGGAAATGTTTTAGCCTTGAATGTTTGTGTTGAGGAAATAAATTCAAACTTCAGACTTCATCAAACACAGTTTCTACACGAACAATGAATTTGAAGCTTTCCATACTAATTCTGTTCATTTAACTGGCCAGAAGCTGTCAAAACCAATATAATAATATAGAGATTAGAGCCTTTTAAACTCCGAATATTTGTAAGAATATCGCAAAATAAAGTTTTAAAAACCCAACATTAATCGCTAAAATTATGGATTTGGATCTTCAAATGTATCTCCATTTCTAATGAAATGTTGTGAATAATAGATTTAGTTCTTGGCTTAGATCACATTGTGGAAGTACTTGGTGTTTCAACTCCACTTGAATCCATTTTATTCCCGCTTTCTGTCTCATGAATATCTCTTATCAAGCTAGTAAACAGTTGTATTCTGCATAAGATATGTGAAGCTATATTATCGTTGTTTCTGATTGCAAATGGTAAAAAGTTAGCTCCTTTTCTATTCCAGTTCAATCTTGGTTAAGATTTACCAAACACTTGTTTATCCCACCACTGAAGGCCAATTTTTTAGTCTAGATAATCTACACTTGAAAACCAAGAGCCTTTTCTCAGCTTTTGATTGTTTCTAGTTCCTTACAAAGATGTCCTAGAAATGGTCACCTCAAATCCACATGTTTTGAAAAATCACCTAGATTTGGCAGTTTGATACTGAATTCTTCTTAGCTGATAAAAGAGCACATTAAAATCACCCCAGAATATACCAAGGTTAATCATATTGCTTGAAAGCACTTTTAGACTATCCCAAAGTTCCACACTTTCGTGCGCGGTTGATATTGCATATACCACAGAAGATTGGAAAGAGTCAGGCTAGTAGAGTTTGTACCTCAAGGTAACTAAATCCTTGTTTGAAACCCATTTTTAAGTATAGATTTTGTAAGAATGATTTTTTTGGAGAATGTGTGATTAAAAAGTAAGAAGTTTTTTTGATTACTCATAAAATTATTTTATTGAGAGAATGTGAGTGTTGAAAAATGAGTTCAAAGAAAGTGAATTTTGAAAAATGAGGCTCAAACTGGGGTTAATTGTCTCAGGTCTTCAGCAATGTTACAATTAATATCGAGGGTTCATAGCACCCAAATTTGTTTCAAATACATTACAAAGAGCATGTTCAAAACCAAGAAATCGCTTCAAATTCTTTGTTGATCATTTAATTGTTTGACAAATAATTTATTTTAGTAATGACACAATAATAAATAGGAGATTAACAACTGTGTAAAAGAACAAAAAGTATTAATAACTAGTTATATATAAACTAGTCATTGCCTTATCCCATGTGGAACAAGTTACATTGCTTTTCCGCCAACATGCCAACCACTATATTCTTAACTTAAATTTCCTGTTTACCCAGGCATCATTTTAACAGGTATGATTTCATTCCACAACAAAGAACCAAGCCCCGCACAAAATAATGCTAAAACAGCACTATTTTCCAAAACAAAGAACCAAGTCCTATGTTGATGGTAAAAATCGGATCAAACGATTTTATTATAATGAAACGATTACAATCGAAGATCAAATATAAATACAATCAACAAATCCTCTCACCTAACTATGAGTTCAACCACACTAATCTAGATGCTTCAACTAAGACAAGAGAAAAAACTATTTGAGATGAATATACCTAAGTTGCTCCCTTTAAACGAGAAGGGGGTATTTATAGATTTCCCTCCAAGTGTTGGAATAATTTGGTCATTTTTAGAAAATATATAACAGGTGGCGGCCCCTTACTAGTTATCTTGTAATTGATTCGGTTAAGAATCATGCTCTACTCATCATGCCCACTTGCTTCTAATTGACAGCCTATAGCCCACCTAAATATTAGTAATGGTTCACAACATTTATGCGAGCCTTTTTCTTATTCGTTCCTTCACATCGTTTTATGCTTCATTGACAATCCGCTTATGCTAGCAAATTCGCACTTAGGAGGTTAACATACTAACTAAATTAATCATGCACAGAAAACCTTATAATAATTCAAATTACACGTCAACTACCATAAAAAAATGCAAAAACAACAACAAAACAAAACAAAAAACAAAAACCTTGGATAATTTTCCAATGTTACAAATTGTGTCAAGCTAGAGAATGTTCCCCAAAGAAGTGTTAGATCTAGACTGGATTTAACGTGCATATTCAAATCTATACGAAAGAACACAATAAAACTACACTGATCCAACACATAATCTTCAAAATCGTTCACAGCCCTGCGAATTGCACGAGATCCTTTGCAATACCCTAAACCAACAGTTCATCTTGCCAAAATGTTTTACCTAAAGTTCCCATAATATAAAGCTCTCATGTGAAGTAAAGAGTAAAATACGCAACAATTCTACGTATCATTATGCACCTAAAGTAGTAATCAGCACCAAGATGAACACAATCTTAGGGCTCAGATTTTGAAGCCTTGTCTCACACAGTCAAGCCTAATGCCGGACCTAGATCTTTAGCACATAGAGTTCTGAAACTTACAAGAGCAGAGAAGCACGGTTTCCTCTCAAACACTAGGGGCGATAGATTGGCCTTAAAATCATTGACCATGCTTCTAATCTAATTATCTAGATTGCTTCAAATACAATGAAGTTGCTACCAGGTGGCAATCCAAGTAAAACGTGTCTTAAAGTAGAACTTTTAAATGGGTCCGGGTTTGGACTGATCTAGTGAGGGTTGGACCACTTGGTTTGTCCCCAATTTAGGCCTAAGCTTGAAGATCAATCATGGATCATCGCTGCCCCAAGACTCGTTTGGCATCAAAACTCAACAATAAGTGAATAATATTTTATTGTATTCATCAACAAATTATAACAACATAATGACACTTTTAATCTTCAAAATATGCATAATAATGTGTAATAATATGCCACTAGGTTTTCATGATAACACAAATGTTACCGAATGACTGGAAATTCACAACAGTTGTATGGCCAAACAAAAAAAAAAAGGAAAAAAAGGATGTTTATAACAATGACTTCCAAAAAGTGGAGATGTTAGGTCTTATGCTTGGTGGTTCTCTTTTTCGTCTCCTAACTCTTCCACTTCCACGGTCACATGAGACTCTGCATTGCCTTCACCAGTTTTCAAAAAATATATATTAGGCAATACTAACACTCTCTTCATGTATTTTTTGGTTATTTAGAATGAAATGCAAAAGAACTTGATTATTAATTTTTACTTGGTGAAATTTAAATTCAATAGATGCCTTATTAAAACTGATTCATAGTAATGGGAACATAAATAATAATAATAAATCTGAGGCTAAATTTTAATGAAACTAGAGAACAAAGGTATATGCATACCTGCTGTAGCACTTGCACGAAGTTCTTGTACATCTAAATGTACCTCACCACTTGAAGCAGTAATATTATTCTCACCGCTAGAAGTTGGGGCCGAAATACCATGGTTAGTGTTTTTGAGTAAAGTACGCCATTCGTCAATATACATTGATTGATCAGGTGATAGATTAGGAATTTCATGCTTTTGAAGAGCTTTCAGAATGCCTTGAGTTTCTCCCAAAAGGTGAGTTGCTTCCCGTATACCTTTCTCCCCTTTTTCTAGGGCGCAATTGTTACATTTCTTGAGTATAACATGAGGTAAATTGGTCAGGCTTGAAGCAATTATATCTGCAACGATAACTGACAATCTCTCAAACACTTGAGTATCTGATGCTGAATGATAGCTTTCGTCATAGACCAACAGCAAACTATTGCTTATCTTGTACATTGAATTAGCAATTATGACATTTTCAGGCAAGTTAATGGGACTCTCCGTTGCATTTTCATTCATTTTACTTGTGAAGTCCTTCAAAATTGCTTCACTTTTATTTGCTAGATTTTGAAGAGTTTCTTTGGCAGATTTTGATACCCTCGCAAGTTTTTGGAGGTCCGTGTCTAACCACTTGTGCCTCAATTCAACTACAACCCACACAAAATCTGCAGCACTCGTGCTGCTCAACAATTTCTTATGAACATCCAGACTTTTCTCTACAAGGCGCACATACTTAAAACCTTCAATGACGCTTCTTAAAAACTGATTCCTTTCCTCATTTTGAACATTGGGAAGAGAAATCATGATACTTGTTAGTGTTGCCACGGATAGACTCCAGCAATTAAGAGGTTCTATGAGAATTATCGGAGAGACAAGATCACTTTCAAATTCTAATACACCCTCAAAGCTGGTGGAATTTTCCATAAGCTCCATTAGATATCTAGGCTGATACTTTGCACCAAAAATTATGGATGAATTAATAGAAGTGTTAATGAACATCAGGTATCCATCTTGTATTGCCTCACTTTCTAGAAGTAAAACAAAATTTTTTAGATCTTGCTCATAACCAAGCATGTATTTTGATTTGTTGGGATTGCATGAGGCCTCCGATTCCCTTAAGAAAAATTTCTTCAACATTACCAAGCACCTAATGATTCTCATCCTCAAGATACAAAAAAAGAGTACGATGATCAATGGGATTATAAATATTATGGGACCGTTTATTGAACACACCATTAAGCAGATAGATCCAAAAATTGAGATTGGCACCAGCAATTTATTCACAATCACAATCACTATTTGACTTCCTATACAAATGTTGAGAAGTAAATTTTTGATGTGATAAATAATTTTTCTAAGCTTCTGGCCTCGAACTTGTAACAATGGAAGTCCCTTTTTCCACTCTACCAATCTTTTGATCCTGTAATTCTTCATTTCTAAGGAAATGCTAGAGATGGTACATTTTCTAATATTCCGTACAGTGTGAAGTAAAGCTACTAAAAATCTTCCCAAGGACATGACAACACAAAGAGCCATGCCTACATGTTGAGTCCAATAAATAAGATAGACTGACCATTTATAATCGGAAGCAAATTCTGGCTTATTGTTTGTTGACAATACTGATCCATCATAAATATAACTAATGACGCAGATCATGAATAAAACATCGCTGGCCTCAGATCGTGCCATGACAAACTGAGGGTTACCTGTTTCTGCCATTACCCAGTACTTCTTCACGTGTAACTTTAACTTGTCAAAGGCCACTATTTCATTTCCTTGTAGTTCCTCCGACGAAATTCTTCTGTGCAATTCGTTATACTTTTGTTCCAAATATCTTTTACTTGTAGACACTGTTAAAGCAGAAGAACTCAATATAATGAACGTATAAACATTCATAAAGACAACCAACACTTGGAAATCATCTTTAATCACGCCTGTGAATACTTGGATGACAACATTTACTGTAAGTGTCACTATAAGGATACCCAATGCAGTCAAGTTCACTAATATACCTCTATCACTCATGGATCCCAGTGAAGGCATGAAATGAGTGGTTGAAGCACACAAGAAAGCAGTGCTAACACTTTTAGCCGCTTGATCAAACATACCTGGCATCGGGGTAGTTAGGTCCATTGACAACTTCACTGCGATGGCTAACACAGTCAAGGAAGCAGCATTGAGAGCAGAATATCTGCAAGGGAACCATAATTTTCTATGGCGGACAGAGTGCACTGTAGCAGTCGAAAGTGCAACGGTCCATATTAGAGATGCCACAGCAGCGTATAAGCCTATCCATGGCATTGGTGCTTTAGAGTCAATCATTTTGTTCAATTATTCAGCTCTCTTCCGATGAATGTACAGCTTTGAATTTAAGATATTGGGGATGCTGAGAGTAGTGGAAATTTCTTTGTTATTTCAGTAGTACAACTTCAGCTTGTATTTTCAACGCATTGATGCATCCATTAAAGAAAAATATATCCAATAATAAAACCCCATGAGTCATCTCCAATATTATTTTGAATCATTCAATTGACTAAAGGGTTATCCAGCATAAAGTATATGTTGCAACGACGTCATCATTATTATCATATTAATAAATAATTCCTAATTGCTTTAAAATTAATAAACAAATAAATACAATTGGATGGAAGGCAATGCTGATGAAATTAAAACTCAAGAAAATTATACCCAGAAAATTTTTTTAATAGTCGAAGGATGAAATTCATGTTAAACGAATGTTGGATTATCAAATTAGAATTTCTAGTAGTTCAAGGATGAAATTGGTAATAAATGATGGTCTCATGATGGAATTCGAATTTCTTAATATTTGAAGGATGAAATTGATGTAAAAGTATAGTTGGATGATGAAAATGAACTAAAATGATAGTTGGATGACCAGATTTGTATTTCCTAATATTTGAAATTGATGTTAAAGCTTAGCTGGATGACCAAATTTCTATATCTGAATAGTTGAAGGATGAAATTTATATAAGTGTGTTCAAATGACCAAACGTGAATTTTCCAAAAATTGAAGAAAGAATGTCTTTCGCACACCAAAGGACTCTCCAAATACTACAGTACAAACTCACAAGGATATATAGAATTTCACTCTCCCACAGCAAACGATTTCACTAAGAAATTACAGAGAGTTCATCCAAAAGATGAAGAGAACAAGAGAGAGAGACGCAGCTGGGGTTAAAACAATCATATGAACCTTAAAGTCACACATCCTTCAATTTATAAGAGAGTGATGCACGATTTTAACCCAACGGTGTTCCATTAGCCAGGTGTTAGAAATCAAGCAAAGGTGGCCTTTGATAAGTATAGGCGTATTTTACTAAAATAATAATAATAATAATAATAATAATAATAATAATAATAATAATAATAATAATAACACTTTTTACATTTCTGGAGCTTTCCGAATGTTGGGTCTATAGTCGGGCCAGATCATAATTTGGACGGGTATCTCAATGGATCAAAACCTTGGGCTTTTAAAGTTTCAGTAACCCAACTCTACATAGGTATATCTTATTTTTATGATCTTCGTTCCGGAGGAAATGAAATTAAGATATCCAGCTTGAATAAAAATTTCCAAATCTTAGTTAGCGGTATATGACTATTGCTTAGAATCTGATGCTGGTGACCTTCAAAAATGAAGAATTTGAGTCAATGGGGAAATCTATCAACTAGTATGAATATGGTTTTTGCTTTAGTCATTTTTAAACAACTGACTAGGCCTGGCTGAAGTTGGAACAACATAGGTCAAAGGGTCATTCATTATTCCTACTAGTAAAGCACAGAAAATTTTAGCTCGTAAAGGGCAAATAAGGGGTGTGTGCAATTATTTTCTTTTTTCTTGCTCAATCGCTTCAATGCCATTTGAGAGATAACAGGAGAGCATTCTCTCAAAATTGAAGACTCTCTTCGTTGAGATGTTAACATGTTAGGGTCTTAACACTCGAAGGGCACCTATGAATTTCCATTAAAGGCATGGATTGATAGGGTCATTTTTCAACCACGAATCGAACAATCTTTAGGGTTATGCAACCTAGAGGGATGATTAGGTTCAGTTTATTTAGAAAAGATATTAGTCTTAGGAGAGACCATTTGAATGGACTAATTTTTGGCTTCACTTCGATCTCTTCGACTGAATATAAAAGACTTTGATAATTGAATTGGTAAAATTAATTAAATTATATTCTACACTGAACATGTTTTCCTTTTCATTTCTGCGTGTTACTCTTCACTATTGGTCATTTTTTTAGAAATGTAAATGTCAATTTAATTAGATGTTATGTGCAAAAATAATGACAATCCAAGGTTACATGTCAACTACCTATGGGCCCCATCGTGTGCCTATGTCCAAATAGCTACACCTTCCTCGTTGAGACAGACTCATTTGAAAGGACGCCTTAACCATCGAGGACCACCACAGGCACAAGGCATCGATTAAGGATTTTGGCCTGAACTTGAATAGCATTGCGAATCTTGACTATAGTGCTGTACACGCGCATGTATTCACAATAGGCCATAATCATGATTGCCACTCAGTGATTAACCAAAACCATGAATGATATAGCTACAAGCATATAGCACTTCGCTGAAGATAATACTACTATATATGAGACAGTTCTTAAAGCAACAAGGTTATGTGATTTCGATTCTCAGTACACCGATAAACTTACTAGCCCGCCACAAGTGGGAAGGTAATTATCCTACTATGTATGGGCCAGCATTTTAAAAGGATGATAATTCCTTTTTGTTTGTTTGTGGTGGGGGGGGGAGGGGGGGAGGGAATATATATAGACATACACACACACACACACACGACCCCTGCCCCCATCTCGACCTCGTTTACCTGATTAGGCAGGTAATTCCTGCCCATTTGAGGCAGCACTGCGACTATAGGGTTTAACAAATTTATTTGCCATCTCTCGTAATATTATTATTATTTAAAAAAAAAAAACCTAAAATCGATAAATACTTAACGGATTAAAATCAAAGAAAAGCTGCTTCTTTGGGCCCTCCAATTTTTTTATTTTTTATTTTTTATTTTTTTTTTTAAACTAACGGATCAGATTTTAGGGAGCTTGCAGGTTGTAAATTTTAGCGTTGGATTAAGGTTTCTTGTTTCTGTTAGAGAAAATAACAAATTCAATTAATTTCTTTTTCTTTATTTGTGCCATTATAATATGTATATCCTAAAAAGTTAATAATTTGACGAAAAAAAGGATTATTGTTATTTTAAGCTGGAAAAACTTTTTTGTTTGTTTTATTTAATGCAGGAGACATGATTATTGTTATTTTAATGATTTTTGTTTGTTTTCTTTAAGCTGGAAAAACTCACTTTGTTTGTTATTTTAAGCTGGAAAAATTGTATTTTAAAGTAATAAAAAATTTATTTCGACTCATATTATTTTATTCACTTACATATATTCATTAGGTACTAGGTAATGTTGAAGAAATTTTTCTTAAGGGAATCGGAGACCTCATTCAATCCCAATGAATGAGAACACATGCTTGGTTATGAGCAAGATCTTAAAAATTTTGATTTACTTCTACAAAGTGAGGCAATGCAAGCTGGATCCCTCATGTTCATTAAAACTTCCATTAATTCATCCATAATTTTTGTTGCAAAGCATCAGCCTAGATATCTAATGGAGCTTATGGAGAATTCCACCAGCTTCAAGGGCGTATTAAAATTTGAAAGTGATCTTGTCTCTCCAATAATTTGCAAAGAACCTCTAAGTTGCTGGAGTCTATCTATGGCAACGCTAACAAGTATCATGATTTCTCTTCCCAATGTTCAAATTGAGAAGAGGAATCAGTTTATAAGAAGCATCATTGAAGGTTTTAAGTATGTGTGCCTTGTAGAGAAAAGTCTAGACGTTCATAAGAAATTGTCGAGCAGCACGAGTGCTGTAGATTTTGCATAGGTTGTAGTTGAATTGAGGCACAAGTGATTAGACACGGACCTCCAAAAAATCGCCAAGGTATCAAAATCCTCCAAAGAAACTCTTTATAATCTAGCAAATAAAAGTGAAGAGATTTTGAAGGATTTCATAAGTAAAATGAATGGAAATGCAATGGAGAGTACCACTAACTTGCCCAAAAAAGTCATAATTGCTGATTCCATGTACAAAATAAGCAACACTTTGCTGTTGGTCTATGAGGAAAGCTATCATTCAATATCAGATACTCAAGTGTTTGAGAGATTGTTGGTTATTTCTGCAAATATAATTGCTGCATGCATGATGAATTTACCTCATGTTATACTCAAGAAATGTAACATGGCACCATAGAAAAACGGGAGAAAGGTGAATGGCGTACTTTACTAAAAAACACTAACCATGGTATTTCGGCCCCAACTTCTAGCAGTGAGAATATTATTACTGCTTCAAGCGGTGAGGTGCATTTAGATATACAAGAACTTTGTGTAAGTGTGACAACAGGTATGGATATACCTATATTTCCCTAGTTCCATTCAGATTTAGCCTAAGATTTATTATTATTATTATTATTATTATTATTATTATTATTATTATTTATGTTCCCATTACTGTGATATCAGTTTTTATTAGGGCTTCTATTGAATTTAGTAAAAATTAATAAATAAATTCTTTTGTATCTCATTATAAATAACCAAAAAAAAAATGCATGAAGACAATGTTTGTATTGCCTAATATATATTTTTTGGAAACTGATGAACGCAAGCAGAGTCTCATGTGACCATGGAAGTGGAAGAGTTAGGAGACTAAAAAGAGAACAACCAAGCATAAGACCCTAACATCTCCACTTTTTGGAAGTTATTGTTTATAAACATCCTTTTTTTTTTTGGCCATACAACAGTTGTGAATTGCTGGTCATTCGGTAACATTTGAGTTATCATGAAAACATAGTGGCCTATTATTAAACATATTACGCATATCATGAAGATTAAAAGTGTCGTAATGTTGTTAAAATTTGTTGATGAATACAATATAATATTATTCACTAATTGATGGGTTGTGATGCGAAACAAGTCTTGGGGGCAGCGATGATCCATGATTGATCTTCAAGCTTAGGCCCAAATTGGTGACAAATCTAGTGTTCCAGTGTTCCAACCCTCACTAGATCAGTCTAAACCCGGACCCATTTAAAAGTTCTACTTTAAGACACGTTTTACTTGGATTGCCACCCAGTAGCAACTTCAGTGTATTTGGAGCAATCTAGATAATTAGATTAGAAGCACAGTCAATAATTTTAAGGCCAATCTATTTCCTTAGTGTTTTGAGAGGAAACCGTGCTTCTATGCTTTTGTAAGTTTCAGAACTTTATGTGCTAAATACCTGGGTCCGGCATTAGGCTTGGCTGTGTGAGACACGTTTCCAAAATCTGAGCCCCAA